AGGGTTGCTCTTGAAAACCACCTGGAATTTATAAAACAGTCCAGAATGCAAAGGCATGCACAGTGTTGAGTTTCCGTGTGTTCTTCCATAGGACATCCCTGCTATGTAGGCTCCACAGAATCCCAGTTTCTTTCCAGGTGCAATTAAATTCACCTTTCAAACCCTCCATGAGACAGAAGAAGGGTATCTGCAGGGTTTCCTCTGCTTGAGGATATCCGCTTGTGCCACCAGAGCAGATATAATTAGCATTCAAATGATGTGTTCCCTAAAAGATTCCCACTTTATGGATCATCACAAGCCTGCCTTTTCTGCTGCAGTTCCTGCCCTATTGGACTTACTCCCCCTTAAAATTGAATAGGCCCCCATCTTCTTAAATCAATGGAGACTTGCTACTTCTTCCAATCATTTGGGATAAGGTAAGGTCAGTGCGGAATAAGAATCTGGTGGATTACCTCAAAGAAGTGAGGTTGCAGCACCAGATAGATTTTCTTTTAAATTTATGTTGTTGTTATTGCTCTTTTTATAGTTGTATATATTGTTTTTTTTGTTTTTTTTGCTGTTATAGTGTAAGTATATTCCATTTACTGAGACTTTTCTATCTTTCTGTATCACATCTTATCCAAAGTTTCTCTTGAAATTTGAAAGACTATAAAAGAAATATTACTTTGTTTTCTCAGATAACAAAAAATGCACCAAGTGCCCAGATGATCAATATCCAACTGAGAACCGAATCCAGTGTATTTCCAAAAGAATCACCTTCCTGACCTATGAAGAACATCTCAGCATCATCCTCATCTCCTTTGCTCTACTCTTGTTCCTAAACACAGGCTTTGTTTTAATCATATTCATTAAATATCTTGGAACTCCTATTGTCAAAGCCAACAATCGGGACCTCTCCTACATCCTCCTGGTCTCCCTTCTGCTTTGCTTCTTATCCTCCTTGTTCTTCATTGGCCAACCAAGGAAAGCCACCTGTCTTCTCCGACAAACAGTGTTCAGCATTGTCTTCTCAGTAGCCGTGTCTTCTGTGTTGGCCAAAACTATCACAGTAGTGCTGGCATTCCTAGCCTCAAAACCAGGCAATAAAGTGAAAAGATGGTTGGGGAAGAGCTTGGCCAACTCCATCATCATTGCTTGTTCTGCTGTCCAAATTCTCATCTGTGCCATATGGTTGGGAGCTTCTCCCCCATTTCCTGACTCTGATCTGCACTCCCAGCCTGATGAGATTATCCTTCAATGCAATGAAGGCTCTGTCACCATGTTTTATGTTGTCCTTGGCTACATGGGCTTCCTTGCTGCCATTTGCTTCACTGTGGCTTTCCTGGCCAGGAACCTTCCTGGAGCTTTCAATGAAGCCAAGCTGATCACCTTCAGCATGCTGGTCTTCTGCAGTGTCTGGGTTTCCTTCCTCCCCACCTATCTGAGCACTAAAGGAAAATACATGGTGGCCGTGCAGGTCTTCTCCATCTTGGCCTCCGGTGCTGGACTATTGAGCTGCATCTTCTTCCCCAAGTGCTACATTATCATCCTGAGACCAGATCTAAACACTAAGGAACATCTAATGGCAAAATCAAGGGAATGATTGTGAAATTTTTTCTTAGGCTGGTAACTTCTAATTATCCATTATTATTGGTTATTATTGGTTATAATAATCACAACTGCTATATCTTCTTCTCTGTCTTCAGGAATATTTGAAATCTTAAATAGTGTTCCGCTTTCTCCATTTCTAAAACTGGCACAGCACCTTCTAGGTTTTGATTTGCTTGTTCTAATTTTTCATTTTCTTATATTAGTACTTCCATTTTTACGTCAATATCATCTGATTTATTTTCCATCTTCTGAATTCTTTGTTCATTTTTAACAATCATTTGCTGATGGGCTTCAAATTGTGTCTTTATAGCCAACATTTGTTTGTTTAATTTATCAAAATTACTTTTTGTCTCTTCATGATTTCTCTGTATTGATTCTTGAATTAATTTTAATGTGGTTTGCATCTCAGTTTGAGCAGTGCTTATTTTCTCATGCTGCAACATTGTTTCAATAGATCCCTGGCTTGTTGGGTTAAATGTTCTGACAGAAGGTGCAGAGGACGTTTATATCATAAGTCTAGTGAGATTTGATGTACTCATTTTTCAAGCCAACTATCTTAGGCTAAAATCCAAACACTGAAAAGAGCCAACTACTTTAGGCTAGATACAAATTCTCTAGGAGAAAAAAAGAGAGAGAAAAAAGAAAAAAAAGCCAACTGTTTTAGGCTAAAACCCAACCATAAAATCGAGCTAACTACTTTAGGCTAAATCCAAATCCTCCAGTCAAATCACAAATATAAAATGCCTGCTGTATCCAAATAATTCCTGTTTTAGTTATATCTATAGTCAACAGATATAATTCTAGAGTGTCTTTCCTCATGCACAGTCATATAAAGGCACTTTGTTTACACCAGGTGTTGTTTCAAGGTAAAACACTTTTCAAATTCTTTTATCATTTGGTATTACTGTAGTATCTCCTTTTACCACTAGATGTTCTCATACACTGTATTGTCTATATCCGGTTTTAAAAGACTGTTAAAAAGTTTTCTTTTAAAGTTCTTTGGAATTTATTTACCCTGGAAATTAAATCTAAAAAGATTTTCCACGATATTCCATTTTTAAGTATTCTTTTATATTCCTTAAATTCCTTCCCCCTCTTGTAATTGCTCGCCACTTTTACCTCTCTTCTCCCCTAGACTTTCTGGGGTCTTTACTTTGTAGATTTTTCCTTATCAGGGGATCAGTATTTCTGAGTCTTTAAGGAAAAGGAATAAAAAAAACAGACTCACCCAGTTTCAGCATGCTGTTGACAGTCAGCTGTTTGGTGGAGCACCGCGACTCCTCGCTTTTTTTTTCAGCTGACGATGACTTGGGCTGCCTGTGCTTACCAGGCAGCCTTTCTTCCGTCCTTCAGAAAGCTTTCTTCAGTCCGTCTGAACTGACCGTCTGGTCCAGACTCCCGAAGCTTCCCTCCTTCTTTGTTGCCCTCCAGGGCAACTTTCCAACTAAGGAGGGAGGAAGGGAGGTGGGTAGGTGCTGGATGTGAATTGGGAGGGAGCCTCCCTGGCTTGTGAGGGGCTCAAACTGGCTCCAATCCTGGAGAGACCACCAGCTCCAGCAGCTTCCCAGCCATGGAAGAGGCTCTCCAGGGGAAGCAGGAATAGGTGGTCTCCAAGGGGTCCCCCCATCTGGCAGGGCTTAAGGAGATTGAGGAGGGGGGCCCTGCCCCTTCCCCTCCCTGGGATCTGCCCACCCTATTCTCAAACTTGTTCTGGCTTCGGGCCTGTTTGGAACGTGGCTCAAGATCCCAAAACAAACAAACTCACTTGGAATTCCAGCAACAGAGTTTTATTTCAAAAGAAGCATTTGCTTCAGTTTGGTGAGCTGAAACAGATGGAGGAGTCCAGCCACACCCTCAAGAGCTGTTTCACACATTTTTATATCCTACCCCCGAGGCAGACTCCCCCCTCCCCTATCACACTCAACGCCCCTTCCCTAATCATCTGATAAACTATCCGGACCTCCTAAAACCACTGTCCCCCTCCCCACATTCCAGGAAGCTCCTTTGTGCACATTCTATCCATCACCATCTAATAGTCTGTAAACAAAGCTCAATTCTTATAATGATCTCTACAGTTGTTTCTGGTTATGCCTTTGCTGCCTTAAGCTCTAAACTTTATCCTCAGTTTTTGTGTTTCCTCTTCTTGCGGTTTCAGTTAGCTAGCAACCTCTGCTTTTCTTATTTGCCTGAATTTATGACTTTCAGTTGGCTTTTTCTGTCCACCTTTAGACTCATTAGAGATTTCTGATTATTAATCTACTCCTTTCAGGCCTAAACTAGGCGGGATGGTCAATCTGGGGATGGGGAGGGGAGAAGGGGGGACTCTCCTGAGGGGCAGGAAAGAGGAGGAGGAAGAGGAAGAAAGGAAAAATTCCTGCATTTTCCTACAATCTAAATTTTATTCTTTTACTGCAAAGGGAAGGGAAGGGATTCGGAGGAAGAGTGATGGAGATGAAGCTGCTGTGGGTTCAAAGCATAGTTGGATGTCTGGAGTGACAGACATCCCTTCCTCCCTACGAAGAAAGGGAGGCCCTGAAAGGAAAGCCAGAGGGGTCTCAGCAGCAGAAGCTCCAGGCTGCCATTCTCCTCCTCTCCCCAATCTAAAATCTTGAGCCTCCATTTTTCAGACATTGCAAGAAAGACAGAAATTCATCAGCTACTGGAAAAAAAAACTTCCTTTCCCATCAGGAATCAGGAAGGAAGGCAGGATTAATTCACAAGTGCTGAAGAAAAAGAGATGAGGAAGAAGATTAGAATATAAACCTTCAGGGTAAATAACATATTATTATTACAGCCTCCCCAGGAAGACCCACACTGCAGGGGGGTGGTTGATAGGCAGGGACAGGATGAGGGAGAATCCCCCCCCTTTCGGGGAGGAAAAGGATGCAAAGGACCAGCAATTCATCTCCAGAGGCTTATGGAATTTTCTCTAATTGGCTTAATTAGGGAGTTAATCAAGATGAGGCCTCCCCCCCCAGACGTTTCATATTAACAAAGATGATGGGGCCAGGATGGGGGAGGGGTGGAAGCAAAGCTAGGTGTCACTTTGCCAGAAATTGTGTGAAATGTCACAAGGAGACTTCCTTTCTCCTTTGCAATTTCCCAAAACCTGGAAACCTCCTGGGCCAGATTTTAGTGTTTATGTGTGTGTGTTTGTTTTTCATTGCACTGTTTTCAGGTCTCTGTAATGAAAAGCTGCCCAAAATTTCAAAAATTTGTGTTATCCACATCTAGGATGTTTTGTTCGGGCACATTTTTCTTTTAAAGGAACAATTAACGAATGTTAAAGAAACATCTATAACTTGGGGAGAAACTCACCTGCAGGAGGCTGGATGGGAATTGCTGGAATGAGAAAAAGACCCAATCAGGATCCTTCGTGGGATAGAGGACTGGGGGGGGGGGCTCCCTATCAATAGCCCATAATAGGTTGCAAGATGATCACTTATACAGTAGACCCTCAAAGAACAGAAATTCCCAAGCAAATCTCCAAGGGGGCCTCCTTGCCATCTGCTAAGCTTGCTGAGAGGCCTCCCCTGGATGATCCCCTCCCCACAATCTCTCATCCAGCCCCCCAGACTCACCTTTCTTGCTCTTCAGGTGGAGGGAGAGCCCCATGGCAAAGAAGATCACCCCGATCACGGCTGCCACGATCCCCGTCCAGAGTTTGCTCTTGGCAGAATTGGAGGATCGGGGCTCTGGAGAAGGAGAAGGAGCCTCACTGAGTAGGAAGATCAGGGCCAGCTTCCCCCCCAGGAGTGTCCATCCCAGCTCCCCCCACAGGGAGGGTCTCTCCCCCTTCTCAGAGCAGGAGGGGGTCTCCAGAGGGGGAGGGGAGGGGCTCACCCCACTGGATGGTGATTGGGGCTTTCAGGCTGGCATGCTCCACCTGGCAGGTGTAGACGTCCCCCCGCTGGGGCTGGGTCTCCAGCATCACCTGGAGCTGGTAGGTCCAGTCTCCGTTCTGGAGCTCCTCCCCGAAGGCCACGCCCTCCTCCTCCGGCCGCCCATTCTTCAGCCACCGGACCTTGATCTCCACCGGGTAGAAGCCCCTCACAATGCAGAGGAGGATGGTGTTGGGGGAAGCAGGGTCCAGCTTGGTGGGGGAGATGGAGACGGTGGGCTTGGCTGGAGGGCAGGAGGGGGAGGGGGAGAAGGGACATGGGGGGGGAGACACAGAAGGGGCCAGAACAGGAGACCAAGTGGGTTAGTTCAGGCCAGGATCCCTTTTCATGCCTGAAACTATTATTTGTGTAAAGTCATTTCCAAAGCAAAGAGCCTTCCCTGATTCCCTTTTCGAAATGTTTGGAAGTTCACTTTTTATCCTAATATCCCAAAGGCCCCAGAGGTGAAAGGAGCCCCTCCCCTCTCCTGGCCTTCCGGAAAGGGGGAAAAGGGGGGCTCTGGGGCTTTGCTTGGGGGGCAGAGAGGAGGGGGCAGCCTCCTGAAGCCCCCCCCTTTTCATGACTGTTTATCACTGGATTTTAATCATTCCTGCCTTTTAAATCTTAAATTCTATAGACTATTTTGGTGGTTTTATGTTTTATGTGTATATCAAGCAAAGTCCTTCTGTGAGAGAGAGAGAGAGACGGTTTTAAAAGTTGATAAGTAAATCAATAAAAAATATTATTGATTTATTCATATAAAATATTATATTGAAATATTATATAGCATATAGATTATATTGTGTTGGAATTATCTGGATTATCTGGCCTGTTAGGCTGAGTCATCAGCTGCAATAGGCCAAGGTATGAGGAAGTCAGAAGTGAAAAAAGATTGGCGTAAACAACGTGCCGTGCGGTAATGTGTTTTGGTGTTTGTTGGTGCCTTGTGTAACAGCTGTATAGTAGCGTGTGCAAAACAAAGTTAGCACGTGTAATATGCTAATATGCTGTGTCATAACAAATGTGGTTGGTGTAAGGTGGTCACCAGGTGCCTAGAAACCCGCCTTCTGATAACACAATAAAAGGGATGCTTCGGCTTTGTTCGAGGCTCCCATCCCGAGGAAATCACGTGTACGTGTCTGTTCTTCAACACCCATGGGAGACCGCTAGGCGCGAGAAAACCCACAACTGGTGACCCCGACGTGATTCAAGTTTCTGAGCACGTCTCTTGGTACTGCAACTCAGGGCCGGTCGTCAGGATAGACGAAGCACCCTCCCAAAATATTACGTCTCTTGGTACCCTCTTACTCACTCAGCGGAAGAGCTTACTGCAACTCAGGGCCGGTCGTCAGAGCTAGACGAAGCACCCTCCCAAAACATTACCGTGAGTATGGGGACAGGATTCTCTAAGCCTCAGGTTGCGCACCTCTCAGAACTTAGGGAATTGACCAAGTCATCAATAATTGTTTTGAAAAACAATGGGAAAAATTTGCCCCTTCCCACTAAAGGGGATTTGATCCTCCTCTTAAAATATGTATATCTAAATTGCCTTGCATATCCCGAAGGAGGATCCCTAGAAATATCTGTGTGGGTTAAATTAGGAAAGTATTTTCATGAATGACCAGGATGTGTAAAACTGTGACTGTTAACTGTTTCAAATCCAAAGGAAAAAGAATTTTAAAGTCTGTTAGAAATTCTGCTTAAAATAAGCCACAAAAAGGAAAAACCTCACTCTGTTTGTCTGGCCAACAGAGTGAAGAAAAAGAAATGTGTTTGTTTGTTTGTTTGTTTGTTTGTTTTCCTCTTTCTCTCTGTGTACTCTCAAGAACAGCCTTAAGTTACCAGGAGGGATTGTTTTAAGTTTATCTGTTGGAAAAGTTTCACTTGCATTTACTGTATGTGTTTTATCTATCCTTTTTTCGTATCCTATCACTTATTGGTGATGCTACTATGAAACTTTTCTTATCCCAAATATATAAGCATTTCTCAATCTCTAAAACGATGTGGTCTATTTTAGAATAAATGTTCTCCTACCCTTGGCAAGATGCACACCTTAAAATATTAGGCTTTTAAAATTATTTGGAGTTTTCAGCATTTTCAAACTGCCTGCAAGCTACCCCCCTTACAACTCTTTTCCTGTCCTTTGTTCTCCATACCTTTTGTCTGCCTCTCCTGGTAGAGTCCACCCAGAAAGGGGGGGGGAGACCTTGTTCTTGTATCTTTCAGCCCTGGAACCCTCTCCCAAGCCTTTGGAAGCAGAACACACAGACCCAGATGCTGCCTCCATCCATTTGAGCCATGGAATTGAGTTTTGAATCCAGCCATCCACTAAAAAGCCACCATGCAATCTGAAGTGGAACATCTTCCCAAGTCCTACCATTTCCCCAGATGCCTGTGAGAGCTGCAGAAGGAAGGTGGTGCCATGTGAAGCCTCAGAAGAGAAAATTAAGACTGTGGGGGGAGGGTGGAAACTCATTGTAAACTTTTCTTTCTTGCCCCATTTGTATTGTAACAAGCCAGTTGAATGTATTAATGGAGAGATGGCATTTAGGAATAGGTGGCAGAACAAGTACTGAACACCTTGGACTTCTATCTGGCGGGAGGGAAAATTTATCCAGAATGTTTGTATTGACTATTTTGTAAAAGTGCACACACACACACACCATTCAGAATCATACTTGAGTCCCCTCCACCTACCTTTAGTAAAGTTCCCCCCAGGCTGATTTTTGCTCTATTGCACCAAAGCTTTGTGGGACCAACTTCCAACAGATAACAAGGGGGAGGGAACTAGGCCCCCTCAGGTGATTTGCAATTCATATGCCCTGACTAAGGAAGCAACAGGAAAAATCCCAAACTTCAGCCCTGAATATTTTGCACTGTTGAGCTCAGATTGGGATTCCTAGAACTCATTATGTGCAATTTAAAGAAAATTTAATAGACTGGCATATTGGACATTACAAACCTGGATGCACTGAATTAAGAGCTAAGGCAGGAAACAACCCTTGAAATTGGGCAGCCAGTGGTCATGTACTAAGGAAAACCATGGCTGTGAAGAATTTTGGGAGGTATGCAAACCTGACTGGAAGCTAAAGGTGACATCCAACATTTGAAAATGATTGGCACAGAATATTGGATACTATAAATTTCTTTTCCACCTAACAAAATTTTGCCCTGACTTTTAGAACTTTATGGGTGCAAGCTCCCCTTTTGGGAGCCACTAAAGGGATCTTTTTCTGCTGCCTCCATTAATGTCTTATTTTTCTTTTTCTTTTTTTGCTTAACAGTTTAAAAGCTTGCCTACCAAGTCTCCCTGACCAGATCAATTTTAATGTCATACATTTACACACTTAAGGCACAAAGTGGGGATATTGATGGAAGTTAGCCCCCCCAGAAGGAAATATTAAAAAGGGCAGAAAAATATATTTTTCCTCAAAAGGACTTTTTAAAACCAAACCTGGCCCCAAATCTATCTCTCTGCCCCAAGCAAGAGCTAGGCCCATACAAATGCAAATGTAACACCATCAGAAAGTTGAAGCCAGAGCAATCAAGAAGACAAAAGAGAAGATCTGCATACCCCACCCAAACTCTAGGAGTCAGCCCCATCATGCCCCCATGTGCTCTCTCTCTCTCTCTGCCCTTCTCTCTCCTCTGCACTTTCCTGAAGAACCATCTTTCTGCAATAAACTGTAATCTTCAGGAACTGTCACCCATCAACAGGTCAATTTAGTAGCTACACCTATCACTGCAGTTCAGTTACCCTTGCTAACCAAACCGGCCTTCACTTTGCCAAGCGACACTAAGGATGACTTCCTATAAAGCGCAACCCTCCTTATTTTAAATAAAACAGAAAAGTAGGAGATGTTGGAATTATCTGCATTATCTGGCCTGTTAGGCTGAGTCATCAGCTGCAGTAGGCCAAGGTATGAGGAAGTCGAACAGCTGTATAGGAGCGTGTGCAAAACAAAGTTAGCACGTGTAATATGCTAATATGCTGTGTCATAACAAATGTGGTTGGTGTAAGGTGGTCACCAGGTGCCTATAAACCCGCCTTTTGATAACACAATAAAAGGGATGCTTCGGCTTTGTTCGAGGCTCCCATCCCGAGGAAACCACGTGTATGTGTCTGTTCTTCTACACCCATGGGAGACCGCTGGGCGCGAGAAAACCCACAACATCCCTTTTCGTGCCTGAAACTATTATTTGTGTAAAGTCATTTCCAAAGCAAAGAGCCTTCCCTGATTCCCTTTTCGAAATGTTTGGAAGTTCACTTTTTATCCTAATATCCCAAAGGCCCCAGAGGTGAAGGGAGCCCCTCCCCCCTCCTGGCCTTCCGGAAAGGGGGAAAAGGGGGGCTCTGGGGCTTTGCTTGGGGGGCAGAGAGGAGGGGGCAGCCTCCTGAAGCCCCCCCCTTTTCATGACTGTTTATCACTGGATTTTAATCATTCCTGCCTTTTAAATTTTAAATTCTATAGACTATTTTGGTGGTTTTATGTTTTATGTGTACACCAAGCAAAGTCCTTCTGAGTGAGAGAGAGAGAGATGGTTTTAAAAGTTGATAAGTAAATCAATAAAAAATATTATTGATTTATTCATATAAAATATTATATTGAAATATTATATAGCATGTAGATTATATTGAAATATATCTATATAGTGGGCAAGGGAGAGACTTTGCTGGATTCCTTCCCCCCTCAGAAAAATATAATATTTGGTATAATATTCTGCAAAGAAGTTTTTCTGTGCAGGGGAAACTTTGGACCTTGAGAAGAGAAGGAAGATCGTGGGGCTGATGGGAAGGAGAGGAATCTATTTCTTTCCTTTGGCATGTTTCATTGTCATACTTGTAGAATTTAAAAATTTTTAAAGGTAATATAATTTTTAACCTTATTTTACATACATTTTTATTTAGGGTGATGTTATACCCTATGCCATCCAGATCCCTGCTTTGAGGGAGGGGAAGGGATTAGGAGTATCAATAAATAGCAATAAGTAGCAATGAATACCTTTCATAGAGCGGAGGGCACAGAACACATCAGGGGCAAATCTTTCTCAGGGAGAGTCCTAAGAAATGGAATGAAAAGGGGGGGTCCCGGCATTTCCCCCCCCATGGAACTCCCCCTCCCCCACTCACCTCTCCGACCAACCACGGAAGCTCTCTGGGCAATCCCATAGTTGTTTCGGCAGAAGGAATCCACTTTGGCCTTCCGGTACTGCAGCTCGTGCTTATCTCTGTTGAAAGCCTCCGCATCCCCCTTCCCCAACGCCGTGACGGCCTCGAACTCCCCGCGGGCGCTGTCGAAGCGGAGATACTCCTCCCGGTCGTAGAAGTAGCGCTGCAGGTATTGCACCTGCCGCGTCCCGTTGAGGAAGCGGCACTCGGCCTTCCCCTGGTACAGGAAATGGGCTGCGGGGAGGGTTAGGGTTAGGGTTAGGTGGAGCAGAAAGAAGAAAGCCCTCAGGAGGGACTCCAGGGCCCATCGTTCCCAGCAGCTACTAGAGGAGAGGCGGAGTGATGGGAGACCTGCTGCGAGGGACTGCCGGAAGGCGCCCCCTGGAGGAGGGATGGGGAACCGTCGGTCCCAGCGGGATCCCCCTTTGGTTGGGGTCTGGAGGGGGGAGGAAAATGAGGGAGGGGGAAAGAGGGACCCCCCTCCATCTCCCCAGGGTGGAAAAAGGCAGGCAGAAGTTCAGCCGGTCCAGTCTCCGTCTGTCTGCAGGGAACGCTGGATCGCCCCCCCCAAAGCGGCAGGAAATATGTCACAATAAGGATACCCACACCCATGGTCCTGGGCTCTCCCCCCCTTCAACCCCCACCTTCCCTTTTCCCCCTCCCCCCATCTTCAGCCCCACGAGCTGCCTTTGGGTGCTTTTCCAGGCCTCTTTTCTGTCCCCCTCCCCCCTGCAGCCCCCCAAGGCCACCTCAAAGGGAGGGTCTCCAGCCCCCTTCACGAAATGGGGAGTTTGGAGGAGCAACTCAGACCCCCCCATATCCCTCCCAAAATAGAAGGGGAGGGGAAGATTTTCAGTCTTGGGGGCTGCAGCTTTAAAGGGGTGTCCAGGGGGGGTTGTGGACTTCCTTTTTCTCCCCCTCCCATGAATCTGAACCACAGTCCCCCTTTCTCTTTCTGCCTGGAGGGGTGGACTAGATGCCCCTTTAAGCTCCCTTAAGACCCCCCCCCATGAGGAGTCCAGGGTGGGTCTGCTGAGACTTTGGAAGGGCCGGGGTCTCTCCTGAGACCCTCCCTCCCCCTGGTCTCGTTTAGCCCAAAGGGGCTTTTCCAAAAGGCAGCTGGACTTTCCTGGTTCTTCCCTTGAAGACGTTTCGCTTCTTATCCGAGAAGCTTTTTCAGTTCTGACCGAAGGGTGGAGGGTGGAAGGACGGATGTTCCTTGCGGTCACTTGGTCATTTTGAAAGTCGGTCCCTGGTTCTCTGAGGGGCCTTGAGGACCCCCAGGGGTTTATCTGGGCCCTCAGGGTCCCCTGAATTGGGGGGCAAAGGGGTGGGGAGCCTTCCTGGGGTTGCTGAAAGGACCCCGTTGTAGGCAGGAGATGGGGGTCCTTTGTTGAGGGGGGCTGCTCAAGTTTGACCTAGATGGTTTGGGGGTCTGGGGATCTTGGGGAGAAGAGAACCCACAAATATTCTTTCCCATCAACTTCACCCCTACTGGCTGCCTTTACGTGATTTGGGGATTAAGCCCTCTTTTCTGTCACTCTGCAGCCCCCCAAGACCATCTCAAAGGGAGGGTCTCCAGCCCCCCTCACCAAAAAAATCGTTTTGAGTAGCCAATTTAGGGGAGCAATTCAGACCCCCCCCATACCCTTCTCCCTCAGTTCCCCCCTCCCCTCCAGGTCCCGGTTTAGCAATGAGGGAATATGGGGTGGGGGGTTCTGGGTCTCCTCCCCAAATTAATAGTCTCCCCTAAGAAAGAATCCATCTCAACCCCTCCCCTCCCCTTAAAAAAAGGGAGATTCAGAAGAAAAACTGAGGTTGCAAAAACACTTTTGCCAAAAAAAACCCTCTTTCAGCTCTGAAAATGCCTCAGTTTCCCTCTTTTGCTTTCTGTCTTCTTCCTCTTTCAGTGCAAGAAACTTTGGGGCTCAGGCGCTAATTTGGGGTTCACAAGGTCCCCCTCCCACCCAGCCACGGGGGGCGGAGAGGGGGTCCAGCTGCCTCTTATCCCATCTCGGCTGCCTTCTCACGACCCTCGACCACCTCGGCCATAATTAGAGAACGGGGGCTCCCTCTTCGTCCTGCGGGGGAAAATGCGGCGAGGGAGGGAGACCACGCGGAGATCGAGGCACCTGCAGTTTCACGCCTCTCTTGCCTTCAACCTCTTTCCCTACTTTAGGGGTCCCAGCCCCTTTCTCCCCCCCCCTCAGGAGCCCTGACAGCACCTCCCAGCCCGTCTCCGAGCCCCCTCCTTACCGGGCGTCTCCTTCCCCCCTTCACTTCCAGGGATCCGGGCCAGCACCCCCACCAGCAACAGAAGAGGGACCCCAACGGAGCCCATGGACGCCGCCCCACCAGCACCCCCCGAGAGCGGGGAGACAGACGCGGAGGCTCCCAGCCCCAGAGGCGGAATCGGGGGGTCTGGCTTGGGGGGAGGAAGCCTTTCCTCCAACTTCAGAATTGGGAGGGCCCAGAAAAGCGGAAAGACCAATGGGAATTCTCCGTTCTGCATCGTCATCGGTCTCCGGGCAGAGCCTCCCTTGAGTTCATCCACAGGAGGAGATAGTGCGAAGCCGAGAGAGAAGCGGAGAAAGTTGGAGGGGGGGGAATCCCTTCAGTCTGGTGGGGGGGCTGCATTTTAGGGGGCCGTTTGATGCCAGCTCCGGAGAGGAGAGGAAGCGGCACTCGGACTTCCCCTGGTACAGGAAATGGGCTGCGGGGAGGAGGAGGAGGAGGAGGTCAGGAGGGGGTCGGGAGGGGGGAGGAAAATAAGGGAGGGGGGGAGCTTAGTGAGGGACCCCCCCATCTTCCCCAGGGTGGAAAAAGGCAGGCAGAAGTTCAGCTGGTCTAGCACTTGGTCTAAGTGTCTGCAGGGAACGTTGGATCCCGGTGGGGCCACTTTGCCCCCCAAATTGGTAGGAAATGTGGGGGGAGGGAAGAGACCCCCCCTGGGCTGGAAGGAAAGGAATATCCATACTTCTCTCTTCCTCTCCCTTTCGGGGGCATAAAGGGCGGGGGTCACAATCAGGATACCCACACCCATGCTCCTGGGCTGTCCCCGCCCTTCAAGCCCCTCCTTCCCTTTTCTTCTTCCCCCCCTCCTTGCCCCCATCTTTACCCCCCACAAGCTGCCTTTGGGTGATTTTCGAGGCCTCTTTCCTGTCCCCTCCCAAAAGACCCCCCTGCAGCCCCCAAGACCGTCTCAAAGGGAGGGGCTCCAGCCCCCTTCCCTAAAGGGACAGTTTTGGGGAGCCAATTTAGGGGAGCAATTCAGACCCCCCCGCCACATATCCTTCTCCCTCAGTTCCCCCCTCTCCTTCAGGTCCCGATTCAGCAATGGAGAAATACGGGGTGGGGGTTCTGGGTCTTCTCCCCAAATTCAGAGTCTCCCCTGAGAAGGAACTCAAACTCATCTCTTCCCTCACCTTAAAATAAATGGAGATTCAGAAGAAAAACTGAAGTTGCAAAAACATTTTTGCCAAAAAAATATCCCTCTTTTTCTTATACTCTTTTCTGGCCTTTGTGGATTCAGCTCTGAAAATGCCTCAGTTTCTCCCTTTCACTTTCGCTTTCCGTCTCCTTCCTGTTTCGGTGCAAGAAATTTCGGGCTCAGGCGCTAATTCTGGGTCCGCAAGGTCCCCCTCCCACCCAGCCACGGGGGGGGCGAGAGAGGGGGTCTATCTGCCTCTTATCCCACCTGGGCTGCCTTCCCGGGACCCCCGCCCACCTCGGCCACAACCAGGGAAGGGGGGTCCTCCTCTTCGTCCTGCGGGGGGAAATGCGGTGAGGGAGGGAGGGGGACCACGCGGAGATCGAGGCTCCTGCCCTTGACCCCTTTCCCCACTTCTGGTTTCCCAGCCCCTTTCTCCCCCTTCCCCGGGCGCACAGACGGCCCCTCCTGTTGCGCCCCCGCCCAGCCCCCTCCTTACCGGGCGTCTCCTTCCCCCCTTCGCTTCCGGGGATCCTGGCCAGCACCCCCACCAGCAACAGAAGAGGGACCCCAACGGAGCCCATGGATGCCGCCCGACCAGCGCCCCCCGAGAGCGGGGAGAGAGACGCGGAGGCTCCCAGCCCCAGAGGCAGAATCGGGGGGTCTGGCTTGGGGGGAGGAAGCGCTTTCCTCGTATTTCGTAATCTGGAGGGCCCAGAAAAGCGGAAGGACCAATAGGAATTCTCCCTTCTGCATCGGCAGAGCCTCCCTTGAGTTCATCCACAGGAGGAGAATCCGAGAGAGAAGCGGAGAAAGTTGGAGGGAGAGAAGCGGAGAAATTTGGAGGGGGGGGAAATCCTTTCAGTCTGGGGGGGCTGCATTTTAGGGGGGCGTTTGATGCCAGCCCCGGAGAGGAGAGGAAGCGGCACTCGGACTTCCCCTGGTACAGGAAATGGGCTGCGGGGAGGAGGAGGAGAGGGAGGAGGGTCAGGAGGGACTCCAGGGGCCATGGTTCCCAGGCGCTCCTCGAGGAGGGACACAGGCTTGTCAGAGGAGGGGAGGGAAACCTGCCGCAAGAGGCTACCGGAAGGCGCCCCCTGGAGGAGGGATGGGGAACTGTCGGTCCTAGCGGGATTCCCTCTTAATGGGGGGTCGGGAGGGGGGAGGAAAATGAGGGAGGGGAGGAGCTTAGTGAGGGACCGCCTCCATCTTCCCCAGGGTGGAAAAAGACAGGCAGAAGTTCAGCTGGTCCAGCACTCGGCCTAACTGTCTGCAGGGACCGTTGGATCCCGGTGGGGCCTCTTTGCCCCCCAAATTGGCAGGAAATATGGGGGGAGAGAAGAGACCCCCTCTGGGCTGGAAGGGAAAATAATACCCATGCTTCTCTCTCCCTCTCCCTTACGGGGGCATAAGGGGCGGAGGTCACAATCAGGATACCCACACCCATGCTGCTGGGCTCTCCCCACCCTTCAAACCCCACCTTCCCTTTTCGTCTTCCCCCCCTCGCCCCCATCTTCAGCCCCACAAGCTGCCTTTGGGTGATTTTCGAGGCCTCTTTCTACTCCCCCGCCCAAATAGACCCCCTGCAGCCCCCCCCAGACCACCTCAAAAGGAGGGGCTACAGCCCTCTCACCAAAAAATTGTTTTGTGTAGCCAATTTAGAGGAGCAATTCAGCCCCCCAATATCCTTCTCCCTCAGTTCCCCCCTCCCCTCCAGGTCCCGATTCAGCAATTGGGAATATGGGGTGGGGGTTCCGGTTCTCCTCCCCAATTCAGAGTCTCCCCCAAGAAGGAATCCAGCTCAACTCTGTTGTGGAATTGAAAAACTTGAATCAGCTCTTTCAGGAAAGGGAAGTTTATTGCGCGCAGGTTCAGAGAGCCATCCTGGCTGAAGAAATCTGAACAAAAGCCTGGTCATTGATGACCATTTTTATAACCCTTCAAGCAGAGTTATTTCCTGAGCAGGTCACATTCCTCACATGGTTACATTCTATAGGTCCTTATTCTAACATGGGAAAACTACTAGACAGATCTATAATCGATAGCTCCTCGTTTACATTGGAATGTTTTTAGCAATCAGCAATATATCAAGTGTTAAGCAATTTAGATACACCATGTGACAAGCAGTTAGTAATATATCATGTGCAGAGCTGGGAACAGGATGTCTGGCCATCCTAAATTTAAGAGTTGTCTTGTAAGCAAAACAAACCTCCCTTTCATACACATTCTTTGGTGGGCCATCTGCTTTTTACCCATATTCTTTGTCGGACCATCAGTATTTTTCCAGGTACCACTTTATTCCCCCCTGATGAGACTTATCTCATCTATGCAGATAAGTTTCATTCCATAACACTTGGGTCTGATGTATGTATGTTGTTATACTCTTGTCTCTGGAATTCCCACATGTGAAGAACCACCCTTTAGGTAACCATATGTTTGCATACCCAAAAGACACTGTTTGGAAAGATGTGCAATTTAGCCTTTCTTGGCTCACTTTCAGGCAATGAGGTGAAGGTGTATTCTGCTCACACCCTGTGATATGTGCACATTGTAGGTCTTCTGGAATGGCTACGTTAGGAGTATGTAAAGCTAAAGCATCAGTGGGTAGAAACTTGGAAATGTGACCCCAGCTGTACATTGTTTCATAGCCTATGTTCTTTAAACTCATGGTGACTGAACTCCTTGGCTGCTGTGACAGGAACACATACTGGTATTAAACATGTGGACAGCAAATTTTCCATGTCATATGCTTCAGAAAGGCAAAAATCAGTTGTGTTGGCTAGTTTAGCCAATTGGACCCACAAATTATATTGCATCCTTGACTCCAATGGATGGGGCATATCCTTATTCTGCTGAGACCTTTTACTTCGCTTTCTCTCTGGGCGCTTCCTCGGGGGTCTTTGGATAGTAACTCCTAATTCCCCCGGGATTACATGTACGATTCAAGTCCCCTTCCATCCCGTCTTCAACTGCGAGACTAGGGTGACCCGCTCCCATCCCCAGAATAAAGGAGGCCCACACTCCAGAGTAACAGGAGGAGGAGGCTTCTTTAACTATTCTGTCAAATGCTTGGGGAAATTGACAAGGATGAGGCCAGCTACCATTCCAGCATTCTGGGGAAAATCCAATAGGGGGTAACCTTTGCAAGTGCCCGTGCCTATAGCATAAGATTGGATAAGGCGTGGAGCTTCTTCTGGCTTGCTCCATTGGCCTAAATTAGAAAGACAAACATTATTACATGCAACAATAGTACTATATAAAAGCAGAAGGAAGCCTTTCATCCTTTCTTCTCCCGTGCGTAGAAAGCCAGCTTCCGGGTGTGGCTTAGCAGGGGGTTGAATTTCAGCCAGACAGCCGTAGATATATGTGCAGGATACACTTGTGCTAATACAATATCTGGTTTACAAATAATAAAATATTCCTTAAACATACTAAACACGTTTAAGAGTGAGTTTGGTGGGAACCTTGGGGTCCCTGTTCACTGTCCACAGAGGTTCTGCAGCTGCTTTAACTCTGGTCCAGTGAATCCAAGATTTAGATTCTGCAATCTTTATTGCTAAAGGGGAGGCCATTATTACTTCATAAGGTCCTTTCCATCTCCCCTCCAGTTGTTCATGTTTCCAATGTTTTACCCACACCTTATCCCCTGGTTTAAAGGGATGACATCTTGTTATTAGTTTAGGAGGTGTTTGTTCAACAACATAATTCCTAAGTTTTTCCACTTGCTTATTCAGTTCCTGCACCATTTTCAGAGCCCATACTCCCCCCTGATGGCCCAAATCAGGCCATCCAGCCAAACTTCTTCTCAGCAGCGTAGGAGGACGCCCAAACATCAGCTCATATGGGGATAGGTTGTATTGTCTACGTGGAGCACATCTCACAGCGTAGAGAGCTAAGGGCAATGCATCAGG